GATATTCACCACTTTGAAGATGGAGAGCCGTCTGCGGTCTGGGAAACGTCAGCAACAGCGCAAATTATTTCCGTCTAGCGACTTCGTGTTCACAGATTATCGCACTAGGATTCCGACCTATACTTACCTGAGCTCAGTCTTCGGTATCTTTACCCGGGTGTCTGCGCTGTAACAGCAGTAAATGATCGCGAAGTTGCTTTAACCAATCTCTGTACCTGCTATTTTTAACAAAGGTGGAACCATGTTCAAGCACTGAAGGGCCGCTTGAACTCTTGTAACATATGGAGTTTTGCTCTTACGTCAAGGAAAACATCAGTCTTCTGGATAAGCTCTGGGTTAAAACACAGGAAGGTATACCTTTTCTTCACTTTCTCAAAAGTAAATGTGCATTATGGCGCTGTTCTATTCCGGTATTTATAGCGTCAATGGTGGTGATGGCTGTGGAGGTAAGCCGCGAAAACCAGAGCACTGTGATTGCTGAGTCCATTTATTCACCTTTGCCTGTTTTTGCAATAATTTGTTCCTAAGCCTCTAAAATCCACCAAAGAGGTTAAGTTAAGTAGTTTTGATTGCTGGAGGACAAACATCTATTCTAACGAGCGTTTTCTAACGACACTAAGTAGGTGAATAGGACTGTGTTTGGAGTTTCGGCTTGAAAAGTGTTCAGTGGAGTTTTTTTATTCGTTCATCTAGGGGCGTTATTAGCCTTACAACTCAGCCATGTCTCTAAAAACATGGTTTGGGTTTTTTGATAAACATAATCTCCAAAAGCGAGATATCAGCAAAACACGTGTCTGGGCCTTCAGCCATCACCTTTGTGGGAGTATGGTAAACATTTTCATCATGAGAATTTTAGGCAAGTTGTAGTGCTACTTGCTTCAAGCATGATCATTATGTGGTGATTCTACAATAGTTAATTATTTTATATTTGAGTGTTCTTTGCAATTTCGGGTCTAACCTTAGAAGTTCATTAGCCGATCACTAGATTCCTGGTCTTGTATTCAATAGTTGCTGAAATATTTAACCTGCTTGATCTCTGGACTTCATTTACCAAAAAACGCATTGAGAACTCCGGAGGACCCATGGGGATTCCAACCCTTTGCAGCTGTGTCATGCAGCAAAGGGGAAGCATTGCAAGAATACATTTTTTGGGCTTTAAGCAAGTGCTTTAGATATGCGCACATTACTAGAATTGAAAAATACAAAATCATTTGTGAGTACTTTTACTTGTTTATACAATGCCCATCAAGCCGTGCCTGGACAAGCGTTTATGACCCCTTAATGTTATGTCCCAGTCACTTAACACCGAGGCCTTCTCCTAGTAATTTGTGATTTTATTAGCTTCCCATGTATACATTGAACGCTAGTCAGTCGTAGCTGGTTACAAGTTCCCTCCTCCCTTCCTTATTCGGTTGACAGTATGTTAAATTTTATCCCCGTGTCGGAACACGAATCCTAACTCAAATTATCCTCTACGTCTCTCCTATTAGGAGACCTTCCAGTTCCCTTGGCCTGCCTGTGGCACACTAACCGATTGCTACACGCTAGTCAAGGCAGCCTTAAAACTTTCCTTTTTTCGTTTTCCCGTCCTAGTTTACAGGCCAAAGCACTTTGCTTGAAAGCTCTATAGCTGATTTTATTTTTGTTTCCGTTTTGCTGTTCCCTTCCGCCTAACAGCGCGCTTTCACTGGCGGCCAGATGACCCAGAAATCGTTTCTGATGTGCTCTTCGCGGTTGCCAATGTGTTCAGTTTTGCGCGCACAACTTATCTCATGCCCGCCTTTGAGGCCCTGGGCCCGCTTCAAATATCCTTCACGCGAATGCTCACCGATATCGTCCGCTTTATGGTGCTGTATGTATTGGTAAGTCAGTTCTTTATGCCTACTGCTGGGAGAAAGGGGGGACTCGGTACGCAAATGAAGGAATTTCTCGGTTTGAAAACGTTCCCAATTACACTTGCATAAGCCTCATTCCACTCCAGTAATCAGTAGCTTACTTACAGAATCCCTCGGAAGGAGAAGCAGATCACTGTTCTGTTTCTACGTAAGAGATCTGGACTAACGAAATTAGGCAAATTGAATCGAGGAGGCCTACATTCCACCTCAACCACCCTGAGGTTGAACATTGTCAACTATTAACTTTCAAACTGAAGCAGCCCAGATGCGTGGGAATGCAGATTGATATTTACACTTTCAATGATTTTGCGATTTATATGTTTAAATGAAGTCAAGTTTGGCGAACGTACATTTTCGGTCATTCATCGTCAGGTAATTACAATAATACAAGAGAGGATAGAGTGACAAACGTTAAAGCATCCAGGCAACAGTGGCTAATCGGGAAAAGAGTTTACAGATCACGCGGTTACATTTAGCCATATCAAGGGGTCAAAGATGGAGAAAGGGGAGGGATAAGGGCTCCGAGGTGTGGTCAGAGGTGTGAAGACGCATGCCGAGTTAGTCTTCGAGGAAGGAAGCCTTAGTGCTTGTAGAAACGCCCTCTGCGCGCACAAAAACGGGTTAGCTAGTCCC